ACCGAGACCGAGAGGGAGAAAGAGAATGCGTGTGTAAGCAGTTCGTACAACAAATTATATAATACAAATAAAAGTAGATAAAAGGCGACGGCAAATAAATATATTATTAGTTAAAAAGCTAAAAGCTATTATGTACGCACTCATGTACACATACGCTCAAAAGCATAAATGTACATACATGTGCGAAGCGCTTCGTTGAGCCTACTCGAAGAGCGTATTGAAGTAATCAGCCCAAGCTCCCATTATGTGTTAGAGCAGCACAGCTAGTGGGGACTCACTCAAAACATTAGGCGGGGAAATTTCGGAAAGCTTTGGCAAAAATGTTTGCTACCGAGTGGAATCGTGTGAGTGAGCGCTTTTGCTTGTCGGTTTTTGTTGTAAATGTAGGCGCCGTTTCGGCTGCGACGTCGACGTTGGCGGCGCAGCTGCCTACAGCTGGCTGTCTGGGTGCCTCTGTTCTGCTTTGCTCTGCTCGCTGCGCGCCGTAAAGGCCCGAGTTTTCCATGTAGGCGACTCAGCCGTGCGACACAGAAGAGTGCGAACATAGCATGAAGTAAGAAGCGCCCGTATTAAATACGAATGTAAAGTGCACACAAAAGTATTAAATAAAACGAAGAGAAAAATAAAGTAGCACATATATATATATATATGTTATTTACATAGATATATGTATATGTGTGTGCCTGTGCGTGTACATCAACACTCGCTTAACAGATATATAATAATACAATACTCAGATACATAAGGAAAACCCGCAAACACAGCTTTTACAAATCGATTAACAATAAAGAAATTAATTCAATTATAAACAATTATATTGCTTATATAGCTGCTTGCTGATCTGCATTGGTAGCTGAGGCGGCGATGGCTTTTTATGTAATCAGCGGGCCAAAAGTGTCAAAGTTCTTAAAAATTTTATCAAAACAGAGTTGTCTACAGCGATTGTTATGTAAAAATGTTGTCTGTATGTGTTTGTATTTGTATGTGTCTACTTATATGCCGCACACACGCCTGGCTCACTCTCGTAATGGGCCCTTACGTGCACGCTCACATAAAAGAAACCCTAATAAAGAAATATCGATAAAAACAACAAAACACGAAGACATTTATGAACAAAACAAATAACTGTATATGACATCGCCGAATATTAAATTCTCTTCCTGACATCATTTCCGCACTTACATGTACATCATATGTAAAGCTCAAATATGATATGATTCTTTTTATGCTACTTCGTCTTGTATCTATGTATATTATTTACACAACTTCAGAACAGGAACTCATAGCTTTAACAAGGCAAAAATTTCATGGTGAAAATGACTTGGCTGTACTCAGCAATTCGATGCACACACAAGTCAGAAATTTCGTAACACAGCTAAGTTACCCCTTGCAAAACAATATATTCTTAAATAACAGTAAAGAGACACACGCAAAAGGCTGTCTCTGTGTGTATGAGTCTATGTGTATGTGTTTGCGTGCTTCTGTTTAAATTAGCTGCAATGTCAATAGGTTCTGCGTTCAATAGACCTGACCCCCAAAGCAAACTCATTAAAATCGTTTCGCCATCTCTTTTTATCTACTATCTACCCAACCATTCGTCTTTATCTCTCTCTCTCAGTCTCTATCTCTTTCAGTCCCCCTCTCCCTCTATATCTCTTTCTCTGCCTCTTTTTGGCTTTATCTTCTGAAGCAGTGAATTCATCCAGTTGTATTTTTCATCTTTTTATCTGTGTTTACTTTGCAGCAAACTCTTTCTGTCTGATGCTCGCTCTTAGAGGATTTCTTTAAAAACAACACAAACAACTTTCTAAAACTTTGCTTCTACTTCTACAACAACGACCACTACAACTACATCTACAACTACACCTACAACTATATCACCAACAACAACAATCACACCATCTACAACTACAATATACACGCACATCAACACACGCAAATCTAAGCGGAATATTTACGGAACAGAAGGTAAGTGATTGCACAGATGCCCAGCTGAAAAGTATCTAAAAGTAGCTACAAGTATCTCAAGAGTATCTCAAAGCGTTCAAAGTATGCGAGAAGTACCCTTCAAGCAAGCAACCCACTAAAACTCTGCATAAATTTTGTGCATTTTTATGCGTGAAAAGGCCAGGCACCGCAGTGCACACCTGATTTACCTGATTTACCCCTGCCGATTTAGCTAACAGTCACCTAATGAAAAGTTTTGATTTGTGCCCACGTTCACTGTTAAAAAAGTTCGCCCCAAAAGTTAACTTTGACAAGGCTTGTGCTGTTCAAACTTTATAACGTCTTATTCTTAAGGTAAGCTCCAAGGTTCCTGATCTCGAGCTACCAATTCAGCCAACAGTTTCGCAGTAAAAACTTCTGTGCTCATTATAGACCCTATTGGAAACTGATTTCGCCTTACATTTAGCTTTTATTGGACAGCAAAATAACTTATCAAACGTAAAAATAGAAATGCTAAAGAACGCTACATATAATTAATATATATTTCTCTCAAAAAAATAACATATCGTAAATTGACTGCTGACTTTGATAAGGAAACACCGAATATAAATTACTGTTCGCAAGAATAGTTGTGATCTACTGATCCTTGCTAAGCTCTCTCGAAAAGGTAGGCAAGTTTCTTCCAATTAATAGCCAGTGACCTCGGAATACTTTGCGTATAGTTAATATCGTCACTCTTACTTTCGAATCAGTCAGGCTTACAAATTATGCTAAGTTTCAGCCAGCGAAAAGTTTTGATTTACTCCATTGTACAAGTGACCCGCAGTTGGCAAAAGGGTTTCTACTTGACATTGGGATTTGGGCAGGATTTGGGCGCGTATACTTGATATCGCTGCTGACCCCTTGACCCCGTCCTCCTGTTAAGGAGCTCCACTTACTGCGACGGTATGGGAACGAACAAAACTCATTTTGGCTTATTTGCGTGTTTATTGGCTTTAGTTTTTCATATCAGAAAAACAGCTTCAAACGTAATTGGATAGCCCAGCAAAAGAAATGCGAATTGGCTTTTGTTGTGGCACACCTGAAACAGCGGCAGCTGCTGTTTCTGCTATTTCCCCATCAAATTCTAAGCACGAAGCCCATAAATTTTCGCCTTTTATTTACATATTTTATACTATGTAGGAGCAGAAAAGCTTTGACTAGGCTCTTAAAACCCTTCTGTTTTGAGCAGCTTGCCAGCTTTCGCTTCAAAAATTAAAGTGAATTTAGTAAAGTTCGTAAGCTGACAGCCTGAAGCTAGTTTGGTTTGCTCGATTATCACTTACCGTGTAGATATAGAAATTTAACGCATAGGGTATGCTCAAAGTACATTTTTTTGAAAGACAATTTATTTCTTGTTTTTTATTGTGGGCGGGTCCTGGAGCAAAGTGGGGGACTGGGTGTTGGGGCTGGGACCCAATAAACAATTCTGTTGACGCGTGGCCGCAGGGCGCCTGAAAAGCTAAAAATTCTTTGCAGTGCCAGCTTAATTCATTAGCTTTGCGCAGGAAGCAGGCAGGCAGGCAGCAAGCGAAGGGGAGACTGGAAGAGAAAGCAAGTCCTGAGCTCTGTACATCCTGACGATCTGACAGGCTATCTGTATATTCGCTCTGCCTGTCTGCCTGCCAGCTGTATGCTTTTCATGTCAAACTAATTTGGTTGCTCGTTTAGCTGGGCGCTGTTTTAATTTGTTGCAGCCCCAGCCCCAACCTCAGCCCTATTCCCATACCAGTCACGCCCCTAGATGAAGCTTGTTAGCCCAATTTGAGTAAATATTAATACATGGCCATGAAGCCGCTGGTACTAGATGAAAATGCAAATGAAAATAAATATAATCCGTAGCCGCAATATTTTGCAAAATTGCAAATTTTCTCTTCCGATTCTCGCTCCTGCTGAGTAAAAAAGTATATTGGCTTTCTTCATACTATCCGAAGATTTGATATATTTTGTGTTTGTACTTGAGTAAATAAAGCTTTTGCGTCGATAGTTAAGAAATTTCTAATATGGATGACATTTTTAGCTACTTAACTCGAGGCATTTGAACTGTGAGCGAGTATTAATTCCCCAGCTACAGGCAACTACGAAGTTCTTATTTAATTTTTTGTTGCGCCCACATTCATTAGGACATTATTGTGTGGGGCCTCAGATAATATTAGATTATGTGTACTTATACAACTGGCAGGCAAGTAGGCAGGCAGGAAGACAGGGCCGCCCAGCTGGCCTGGGCTGGGCGAGTAATTCCAGAAATGTGCTTCACACTCTCACGCACAGAGCCCAGCTGTAAACTGGGAACTGTCGAGAAGCGCTCTCGGACAGTCGGCGGCATTTAAGCTAATCGGCTTAAAGTATCAGGGGTACATCCACTAGCACAGGTGACAGGACAAGTTGGCTGTAGGATGCAGAAGGAGAGCTCTGGGGTTCTCTGTCCTAAGCATTGTTCTGTTTGAACACAATTTAATTTGCTTGGTTTTTTTCTGTTTCTCTCAGAGTTTGGTTTTCCTTTCAGTTGCGGAGTTTAGAACGAGAACCGTGACTGCACCTTTCATTACCAACAGCAGTAGAATCAGCATCCACGCACACAGATCCAACAAACAAGCGATAGCAAGTAATAAAACACAATGGCGGCTTTTATTGCGAAACAGATGGTTGGAAACCAATTAAGTGCCGTTAAAGGTAAGTGAAATCTATAAACAAAAGTTCCAGGCGAACAACTATTTACTGAAATTGGTATTATTAAATAAGATGAAGAAAATCGAAATAAGAGCAGAAAGACAATTCTATGTATTATATTTAAATACAAAAAGTATGGTAAAAGGATTTATGTATATCCATCCATAGAAATATATTTGTATGTTGTATAAAAGTTGACAATTCACAGAGAGCTAAATTAATTAGCTTCATAAAGGCTCAAGTTCTTGCTGTTTTCTATTTCTGTAATCTGTAACTGATTCGCAGGTAAATAGAAACTGAAATCACCAGGCAAACGGACTTAATATGCGACTTTACCTTGATCTTATATGATTATGCTCATGTATACATGAATATAGGTAACTAATAGGGGTGAATACGTACCCACACATACACACATATATACATACATATATTTTTGGCATACCCGATCGATAAACATACATAATTCATTTTCAAGCTACTGCACATCGCAGCAGATGGAGGCAAGTACAAGTAACATGCCACACATGAAAGTGGCTAACGCTTTTAGCTACCATACCCGCACCTCCGGCGTCTCTTCGTCTTAACCCTTTCAACTGTTGTTGCTGCTTTTGTTTAATCATTGGCTGCGCAATCGCTTGGAAAATCATTGAATGCTTTCAAAAACGCGGCGCTAGAATATTTTATTTAAAACGCTTATCAACTGAAAGCATGCGACATACCACAATGCAGCATATGGCATGTGGCAAGCATTTACATAGCCACTATATAATGTGTATCTGTGTATCTAGGCGTCTGTATTTGTGTCGCTTTAGGTATGAAGCAGGCTCTCACAATTCGCTAGCGTCTGGTGCTACTGCCCGAAAGGCCGAGTGGTTATGCCGCGTCCCAACCCCATTTCCATTTGCGACCCGAAGTGGGACGGGCCCCCGGATCGAATGGTTTCCTCTTATCAAGCGCAGAAATTCTGCACGAATGCGTCGCCAAGTGGTTCTAACAAATTGATACAGTTAATTGCGTAGATTGATGCTAAATTTACAGAGCTCTGGCAATGACTTGGCCCAGCCATAATACCACTTACAAAGAATGGGAGCATGCAGAGCATAGACGTCTAGTTAGATAGATAGAGTGAGAATGAACGCGCTCAATCATTAGCCAACCCACTTGTCCACCCACCTGCCACAGGCACTTGCCACATGCCACACGCCACTTGCCTCTTCGCACTGCTCAGCTGTCGACTGCGGCTCTGCAAGTCGGCATTGATTGACTGGTCGAAAAACATGAAAATGCTATTAGCATGACCATAAAAATTGAGAAATCAAATCGAAGTGCCATATATATATATGTATATATTTGTATACCCAGCCACAAAACTTCAGATTCTCTGTATCCTCCTTTTTTGTCGCCAGCCACTTACGGTTGCTCCAATTGGGAAAGAAATTATATAAAAATTGTATAAGCAATGGTTGACTGACTACAAGATATCCTGTACGCAGCATAGAGTTTGCTCTATATTATAATATAAGATTATATCAATCTTAATTTATTGGTGTCGAGATAAGAAGCTTAGCAGTTTTTATAAACTCTCAATTAGGTGCAACACTTGCTGAAAAACAAGATAAGCCCAGCCTCAATTCAATTTCGTTTTGTATAGAGTATCTAGTATACTGCTTTTGAAGGACAGAACTTGACTGATTTGGAATCGATAAGGTTTTATGACCTCTAAAATGTCATATATTTCTTAACACACTTTCAATTGGGCATAATAAAAGTAAGGAGCAAATCATAAAATATTTTTTGCAACGTCCGGCCAATAGCTGAAACTGAATGTTTTCCTGCAATGGAACATTGTTTCGAAATTCAGCTTTACAGTTTTCAATCTGTAAAACATTTTCCTCCCTGTTAGACAAAAGCAATAACAGAGGGTGTGGGTGTATGTGTGTGTGCTTTCAGAGCATGGACAGCTAATGCGTTTCCATTGTCGTTGAATTTATTTGAGTTGCTGTCGTGTTAGTCTTTATTACTATTGCCTGTCTTATGCGAGGATAATATATATGGATTTATCCAGTTGGGAGGAAATAAGCGTAATAAATGTATCAAACGTGTAGATAGCTAATAACTCCATGATATATGGAGCACAATGTAATCCAAGAACAAGTAGCCATACTGTATTGTAATCAAATTTAATTCCTCTTCTCTTGCAGGTAAGCGTTTTGTTTGTGCAAGTTAGTCGAGCTCGTACTCTGCGCGTAAGTTGCATACATGAAAATAAGCATATATATAAATAAGTGAATATCAATACCATATCGAACATTATTATATATATATATAAATATATATATGCGGCACATATTTCGATTATGATTTGAGCCTGACTTTCAGTTTTGAATGAGGAAACAGAAAATTGTTATTAATTGGCCTTAAAGCATGATTAAAAATAAAAAACCATTAGACTATATTTATCGATTTGATCATTTTGCGTCATGGATTCGTTCAAAATTGAAGTTAAGATCAAACAAATATTATTACTCCTAAGCATAGCGTTGCACTTCAAGAATACCCACCTTTGAGTTTATTTCTTTGATTTCGGTAAACTACTCTAATTACTAACACACACACTTTCATCAGAAATAATTTTTGGCTCGCAGTTTTCATTAACAAGTCAATTGATAACTACGTATTATATTATATACAAATCTATTTAAGCTTAAGCGCACACACAAATCATGAACACCGCCCACAACTAACTTAAAGATGAAATAAAATGTACATATTTGTACACTCCTCCCTCTGCACCTATTCACGGCCGAACTTTACCTCATTGTAAAACACATACTAAACACAAGAGCTTGACAAACACCAGTAACAGGAAGATATAAAATACAAAACTCGAAAAAAAACACACACTCACAAACAGCCAAACCCACAACCACCTTCAAAACGATACCCAAGTGCACAGCAATCCTTAGAAATTTCCATGCACTTCACACAAAAAACATACAACAATACCCAAACGCCCTACTTTCCACGCCTCCACGGCCGGCAAGAATGAACACAGCTGCCAACGCCTTTATACGAAATATAAAGAAAAAACACAATTCAATTTTTTCTATTACAATCTCTTCCTGCCTTCTTCTGATAAGGCTCTTTCATTTCATTTAATTTTTTTTTTTTTTTTACATGCTTTTATTTATTTTGTTTTCTCTGATATTAACATGAATTTCACGCCTCGTCATGATCCGTATTGTAAGACGATGCCGGAAATTTAATACTTTCAGTATCGAATATTTCTCTAGGCTGACTTTCTAAAAAAATAGTCTTCAGTATCAATACTAAGCTTCGCAATAAACGCCTATTTTTTAACACTACGAACACAAATATTTGATTTTCAACCTTATCTCACACGAATTCCCCCTTCTCAATCTTAAATAGATCCAGAAGCGATTAGTACTTAAGCTCTCAACGTTAGATCAGCCATACATAAGTAAAATAAGTAATATAAATAAAGCTACGCATATTTTGCTGACTAACAGATATTTTCTAAGATCTCTAACTTTACTCATTTTCTTAAGTTGCAAACACAACTCAATACACCTTTTTCAATAGTTAATTTTTATCTATATATACGTATATCGCGGATTGGCAGTTAATTTTTCAAACTCAACGGCAATGAAACAAACTTCAATATAATAATACTCATTTAATATCTCACAATTACACAAGCAAAACTATTTACTAACTACTACTATTTTCTATCAACTATAATTTTTAACTTATTCAACTATTATACTTCTCCAACCCCCTCGCTCTTTCTCCCTCTTTTTTTGATATATACATATTTTGCCAAGCTATTCACTATAATCTCATACTCTCATGACTTGCTTAATGCCTCATATCATTAGAAATGTAGCCATCTAGTGACTATATCTATTGCAATACAATACTAAATTTAAAAAGACAACAAACAGGCAGGCGTATTAATGAATATTTACCCTTTACTCTCCTCGACCCCACACGCTGAACAGATGCTGCAGGCGGTAATTTGTCAAGAAATAATACCTATATATAACACTACTATATATA